CACACACACACACACACACACACACACACACACACACACACACACACACACACACACACTCACACACACAAAAATTTGTATTTCTAACTTTATTATGACCGTTCATTGACTTCCATTCATTTCCAGTCATTTCTAACACCTAACCTGACCCTTATACCATGAAGCTAACCCCCAACCCAATAATGGAGTTCCACAATTAGGACCAGTCTTTGGTCCCCATAAGGACTACTGGTCCTTATCACAAGTTTGTCTTCCTTCATATGTAGTTAGAACATGGGTTATTTGATTTGAAAAAAGGTTTCCTGGTGCATTTTTAGCAGGAAAATTGTAATAGAACAACCAAGTATTGCAGAACTGGTGGCAGTGTAAAAGTTTAAAACATTCAGTCACCTTTCTTTAACCAGATAGAGCCCAGTGAGATCAAGATCACTTTTCCAAGGGTGACCTGGTCAAGAGGTCAGCAGCACACGTCACAGGGTAGTTGACACAAAAGTTGCATTGTAGAAAAGAAAGATAAACATAAAATACAATAGCATTAAACAGATTTAGACAATGAGTACAAACAATCTAGATGAGCAAAGTGGTAATCTAGGTATTGACAGTAGTTTCAAGACTTTGTGAAATGACATTTGACATTTTAATTACCAAATTTTGGTTGTGTACAGACAGAAAAATAGAAGTAGCATGTACAGTAGACAAATAGTGTTTAAGACAAACAGGCAGCTATCAAGTCTCTTGATGACAGTATCTGTAAGGGTTGAAACGAAGGATCTCGGCGAGACCAGTTTTGCTAATTTCAGTTCCGTCTGTAATTTGTTCCAGGTTGAGGGGACAGGAAAGCTGAACGCTCTTTTCCCTAGTTCAGTTCTGACACGAGGAACTGACAACAGTACTAGATTGTTGGAGTGCAGGGAATAATGACTATGTTTGTATTAAGGTGATAAGGTATGATGGGACTAAATTCAGGAAGGTCTTATAGATTAGGGATGTCCAATGAGTGTATCTGCAAGCAGTAAGGGATGACCAGCCAGATTTGACATACAGTTCACCYCGATGAGTAAGGTAACTGGAGTCTGTGATGAACCGTAGAGCACCATGGTAGACGGAGTCTAAAGACTGCAGGTATTTTGATGCAGCACTCATGTACAGCACATCACCGTAGTCTAATATTGGCATGAATGTTGCAGCTACTAATGATCTCCTGGCTTTCCATGAGAAGCAGGATTTGTTTCTGTAATAAAAACCTAGTTTCAACTTGAGCTTAGTGGCCATTTTAATGATGTGGTTGTTCACATGAAACTTTCAGCTTGTTTGTTTTAAGATTACAGCAATCCACTGTGACCTTGGAGCCACTCAGACTGCATGTTAGCTCATCAATCTGGTCATAAATTAAACTATTTCTCTGAACTGAATCTTTTTCTCCAAACTGGAGTCTTTCAAAGACCTATAAAGAGCAGGTAAATTATTAATTATTCATAATCTTCGTCACAGAACCCTACTTGAAAATATCTGCACTGTCCTTAAAAGATATCGCCATATAAACAACTCAATAAGGAACAAAGCTCAAACCAGATCTGACACTTTAAAGGTATGTGTTAGTACTGATTTGAAATGAGATTACTGCTTTAAAAACATCACAACAAATATGTTTTTAATAAACCTGCAAATTAAGAATGTCAATTTTCTGCAAGTGCTCAGAGGTCATGTGAGATTGTGTCACGTTATGAATTGTCTTCTTGTTTACAGCCCCCCACAGCTGAACTGTCACAGCGGTCAGAAGCCTGAAAGTCCTTGCGATCCGCCTTTAGAGAAAAACAAGTCCACTAGGGCATTATTCCGTGTGCTACGTGACCTCAAAACAGCTTATGTCATAAAGGTTGGAGCAACAAGCTTCTGAAAAAAGAAAAAAATATGAAAAAAGAAAAAAGAAAGAAAACAGCAGTCACGTCCATTAAAAGCAACAATCAACATGTGAGAACAGGGAATAAAAAGCATCGCCTCCATTCCACCACCTACGGCTCAGTTTCCCTCATCAGGCCTTTACCTTTGAAGGAAAGTGGGTGGTCGTTACGCAACTTTCTTTATGTCTACACAAAATTTTAGATTTTTCTTTCTTTTTTTAAAAAAAACACTGTTGTGTTCACTAATTGCAACTTTTTGGCAGGGTTGAAAAACAGGATACACAGTGCTCATTCCAGAGTTTTAACCTAAAAACATGATGATTAAAAATGACAGCGGTGGCCATTTTAATCAAACCTTGTGCATGACGAGACACGTGAACTCCTACTGCAAGGTTTCACATTAACTTGGCTGAGGTGGATTAGCTGTGGTGGCTATCTAGATTTGGGATGACTCCAGTTGTGGATGCACATCTAAGGATTACTTTCAGACAGTTACYTTAAATTTTGCCTAGTGGTTCAGAACACTTTTGCGAACAGACAAACAAGGCTGACGCCAATGTATTAAATAAAAATACTACACAACGTGTCGCAATATGTGGAGTATGATGCTGAGCTACTGTACACCAGATTTCAGCTTAATACCTATGAAAGCAACTGAGCTACACCCAGTTTTGGTTGGGCTAAAATCAGTTTTGGATTGGGTTGACTCCAAACTTTAAGGAGTTGTAGATGAACATCCAGTGATAACATTCTGAGAGTTTCATTAAAATCATTAGAGATGTTTTGCTAACGAACAGGCAGAGTTGACCGTAATAAGTAATGCAAATGTTAAAATAAAAATGAAAAAAAAACGTGCTCATGTGTTGGAAAATGACTGCCTTCTACCAGCTTTTAGGTCACTGTTTGTTAAACTGGCTCAGTTGTAACCACTTTCATGCTAAAGTTGTGTAGCTGTGGCAGCCATCTTGGATTGTGTTGACTCCAAAAATTAATTAGCTGAAGCTTATGAAAAAATATGTCCACTGTTTCATAAGATATTTTGCTAATACTGCAGGCGAACAAACACAGACATAAGAAGCAATACCATAACCACTTTGGGTATTAAATGTAACCCTAACCTTAAAATGTCTGTACATGTGGCCTTTGTTGAGCTTCGGCAGTGTTCTTTAAGTAGAAATTGATGTTATCAAGATTTTTTGTGAGCTTTAAGAAATAAAAATAGACAAAAAGGGGCATTTGTTATTGATCCCAGTTAATATTAGACTGCTAAAGACCACAAAAGACAAGGAATCGGTGACTCATGTGTAATATATGGAACATCATGTTATTAGAGATCTTCACTGTGCATTTGTGCTGCACACACACATAGCTACATACAAGGGCAAAATAAACACGTGCAAGCCTGTCACATGCTCAGCTGCTAATCTACATTTTGACCATTCCACACTCAATAAACAACAAGGTCAAAGATTGTTTCTGAAGCACCTCAATTTTCTTTGTCATTCTTTTGGTCAGATTTGTGTTTGCTTCCAAGAAAGACACGTGTAAAATCTTTGTTTTTTTTTCCTCCCTTCTGCTGATCTTTTCTGACTCTGAGCCTTCTCTCACTTTTTCCCTTCCCTCTTATTTTTTTCTCCCTTCCCCTCTTGTTTTTCCTCTCCCCATCATTACAGTCACTCAGAGACAGAGCTCGGGCCGAGGAAAAACCGAACGTGTGTGTCTATTTTTAGAAGCAGGGAAGGAGGGCACACCAAAAGTGAGCTGGAGAGAGAGAGAGAGAGAGAGAGAGAGAGAGAGAGAGAGAGAGAGAGAGAGGGAGGAGGAGGAGAAAAACCTCTGTTTCTGCCTTGCCTCTGCTCAGAAACAGTGGATGCCAGAGAGCAGCATCGCTGGGAGGAAAACAAGATACCAAAGAGCAAACCACTGCCTGATCCAGGTTTTGGATTGAGAGAATAGAGACGACAAGACCAAGTGGCTACAAAGACTAAAGCCCAGAAACAGGTGAGCGTGACAAGAAAATTACCTGTAACATAGTTACCCAAAATGCATTTATTCGTGTGCTTCAGTCTTGTGCTGCAACCGTGGAGCCATTTTTAGATGCTGTGTACCCAAGGAGTACCCTAAATTTAGCAGTGGTTACACACCTTGGAAGAAACTGGGGGAGAGGCGGAGGTTATTGGAGGTGGAGACGAAAATATGTCTCAACAATATGGTGGGTTGTAGACAAGAAAAAAAATCTAGGCTGACACGTTCTGTGGCTGGACAGGACCGAGGTTAAAATAACCAACTGTTCGTGAAGCGTGTGTCTCCGTCTGTGCTGGGATGAGCAGAGGGGTGATGACTAAAATAAGGACGATGGGAGACGGGGAGGGTTATTTGCTGAACTTGAGTGATACAGTTTGGGGGTGTGGGGTGTGTGAGGAGGGTGTTGTTTGGAAACACAAGCTGTTATGCATCAGATTATCTTTCTGGAACAACACATCAGCCCAATGAGGTGGGGGGAAAAGGGGCTTCTACTTGTAAACAAGAATGTTTGTGTCTTTCACGGTACACAGCAGATAAAAAGATTTACTGAAAATCAAATTTATTTTGTCCATCGTGTTTTCTTGCTGGACAATGCCACCGTCTTTGCTGTCACATATTCTCTCAAAGCAACGTGAAACTTTTGCCAAATGATTTATTAAATTTACTTAAAAATGTGGGTAAACACATTCCCCACAAGCTCGTTTTTAGCTCTGGAAAGTGACCTCTCTCCTTTTTGGTTTTGTCTTCCAGCCATGCGGCCGCGGTCCAGACTGCCGACCAAGAAGAGYGTCCTGCTGCCCACAATCCGGGAGGGCACCGAGGAGACGGCGAGGGACTGCAGCGACGCCAGCACGACCCCGTTTGGCAATAACGGCCAAGGGGTTTCATCAGAGGACTACCTTCTCTCCATCTGCCACCTGGCTCGCCCCACCTTCCCCGCCAGGGAGGGTTCCCCCGAAAACATCCACGTGCMGCAGCAGGACGCCGTGCAGAGAAGGCTCAGACCGTCGAGGTTCATCACCTTAACCACCTCGGACTTCAATCGCAAAGAAGAGGAGGACGACAGGAAAGGACTGAACGGACGGTTGATGCGCTGCAACTCCGACCCGCTGGAGTTGCTTTACGGAGACCAGAGCGACCTCTTTGCCCTCTCGAGTAGCGTGAAGAAAGGGTTCGTCGGGGGAAGGTTGTCAAGGCAGCAGGGGCTCAAGGCTTGCGACGGTGCTTCAAGTCCAGATTTCCCGTGCCAGTGCAGCCGCCCTGAGTTAAATGCCGAAACTAACCTTCCAGTTCCAAATGTTTCCTCGAAGCATAGCCCATTCAGGTCGGAGGTCAGGAGCGTTTGTCCGGAGGAAGAAAGATTGAGTCCGTCCATCAGACAATCCTTCATCTCCCATTGGATCTCAGACTGCAGGTCGGCTTGGAGGGAGGCGCGCCTACGAGCCTGCCTGCTGCCCGCCATCGCAGAGGTGTAGGGAGGACAAAGGGTTCTGGCAGTCATTTAAATACATCTTGTGTCAGAGTATGAGATGTTGAAAATATATAGAAAAACAGATTTGGTGCTCGTGCTGTGTTTATTTCCCAAAACATCCTCCCTGCTGTTAATGTTTAATGCAAAATTCTTCGAAATGGTCAAATCTGTAATGCCTGTTTTCTATCTTCCAGTGGTTTTTGTGAKTTGCAAATCGATAAATAAACTCTTTTATATATACATACATACCATCCGTGTTTATTTCTTGTTGGTTTTTTTTTTCTCAGCAGCAATTTGCCTTATCCGTGGTAACCCCTGAAAAATGAACTTCTCTTGCCTTCTGCTGGTGCCAGGCAGAGGAGTTTCTATGGTAACTGTCGTGGGATCCTGCGCTGGTAAACAGAAGTGTGGAGGAACACGGGCTGAGCAAAGATGACACCACCGCTGAACCCACACATGCAAGACAGAGGAGGCAGGCGGGTTGTTTGTTGCTGCTGCGAACTGATTGCTTGGCTCAAGACGAAACCAGAAAACCAACACAAAAAGGAGCTGATTGGTGGCGTCAGTGAGCTAAAATGACTCCATGTGTTGTAGTTTTACAGATGAAAAGGAGGTTTGAAATTCAATCTAAACACTAGTGTAATCTCTCTGTTTAATTTAAACAAACAGAAATTATAATTGGAACCACTAGAGGGCAGACTTGTGTTGTTCGTTACACCAGAAAAAGCCTTTGTGAAACCAACCCACCACTTCTTCCAGAGCAAAACGATCCTTGAAAAGATAATAGAAAATGTAATGATGACCCCCCACACCACGAAGTACAAGTGGGAGTCATATTGTTTTTGTACTTTTTTTTTCAGTGATTTTTGGTCAACCGTAGCACAAAAACGGCTGCACCGGTCAACATGAAATTTGGCAGGACTGTAGACGAGTCTGACCTGCACTGCGCCAGCCAACGGTTTTATGGTACACCCCATATTTGAGGAGGGGGCTCCTTTCAAAGAGGGGGTGTCAGGACATGCAAAAATACTTATAACTCAGAAACTGTTCAACATAGGAGCTTCAGATTTTTTTGTTGTTTAGCTCTGATGAAGCTCTATCCATCAGGCCCACCAATCAGTCCCCCCCACCCCACCTGCCCAGACCCCCAATTTATCTGAAAAAGGGGTATGGTTATAGCTCAAAAACTATTAAACGTAGGAGCTTCAGATTTATTTTGTTGTTTAGCTCTGATGAAGCTCTATCCATTAGTCCCACCAATCAGTGCCCATCCCGGACCCCCAATTTATCTGAAAAAGGGGTATCTGGACATACAAAAATGGTTATAGCTCAAAAACCATTAAACATAGGAGCTTCAGATTTATTTTGTTGTTTAGCTCTGATGAAGGGCTATCCATCAGGTTAACCAATATTTTACAGTAGTGTTTCCTGGTGGTATGTAAAATAAACACTTTTTTTCTGCAGTCAAAGATGAAGCTGAATAAAGGCCTATTATATTCCCTGGTTGAATATATATTAATTATAGCCCMTCATGCCAGAGTTTAAAAGACAGATAAACATAGCTATTCTGGTCAAACTTTAAAAAGGTAGTCAGACTACTTTCCCTGTTAACCTATCTAAATTTAGTGTAATATTTGTAGCAATTTATACTTTTGTGTTGACTAATATGACACAACTGTATAAATGTAGTCATTTTAAACGGACTGACTTTCCCAAAGGAAAAAAAGATGATCCTATGATTAATGTCTTAAAGTTTCATTAAAAACTATCCTTTTGGTACATGAGATATTTTGACAAACAAGGTCAACTTCAAATTATTAAAGGCAATGTTCATGTAACAGAATATGTCTTGAGGACCAGCCTCAGCTACTACACAAAATTTTTGTTCAATATCTGTAAAATTGACAAAGCTAGCCAATTTGTGTTTTATGTGGTAGCATCACGTATCAGGTTTTCAGGTAAGTCAATGAGTGCAATTGAGAGAATAGACTCAGGAGGCAATTTACAAAAAGGTAAGTGATCTTTATTTACGGTGAAGTTCAGGACGGGGACAGAGACGAGGTGAGTATCTGCAGATGGAGTGATATTGATTTGAGGTAAACTAAGTCTTCTTACTGGAAAGGGAGGTGAGAACGGCTCAGAGGAGAAGGCTTGGATCCACAGAGATAACGAGACCAATTTCCAGGTAGAGAAGGCAGACAGGAGGGCTGAGGCAGGTGAGTATTCTTACAGGTTGGAGACAGAAAGGCAGGTGAGCGAGACATAAGTTTTCCACAGGCAGCTCCGGATCAACAGGTAAGCATTCGAGGTAACTGGACATGGAGAGAACACGGATGAGTTTATTCAAGGTAAAGTTTACAAATATAAACAGCCAGGACATATACCATCAGGTACTGTATGTGTTGCTCCGACAAAGACCAGATCTTCATTGCCACCTAATAAACCCCAGATGCTCATCAGGGAAGCCTGCTGCAGGTGAGCTCCATCAGGTGCCAGCCAATCAGGAGGATGCAGGTGAAAACACTGATTGCCACATCATGTAATCATGAGGCTGCATGTTTGTGCCAAGGTTGCATCAAAAAAGGCATCCAAAGTAAAATTATTGCCAAATCTTTTATGCCATCCATCCATTATCTTTACCCACTTCTTTTTTGTGGGTTGCAGTGGTCACCAGAGCCCATGACCAGTAGTCCATGTGCTCTGTAACCAGGTCAAGATCAAAGAGGATTGKTGTTATACTAAAACAACTCTAACCTCCTAAATGTCACAGTGGTTCACTTTTATATGCAAGTATAAACCTTTACATCACCAACAGATTGATTGATTGATGCCTTTATTGTCATTGTATGGAGCACAATGAAATCACATTTAAGAACACCCATTCAAGAAGACATACATGACAAAAACATGAGGGAAARAGGTGATCAGTTCATGCAGCAACCATAAAAAAAGAAACGTGTTTATGTGACTGAATGTCAGAAAATATACTGAAAATGAGTGAAAACTAGCTAAAGCCCAAATAAAAGACCTTCAGAAAACATGCAGAAATAATCACCGACTACTTTAAAAGAATACGCAAAAGTTTTCTCCTTATATGCAAAAATACATATATGTGTAAAATGACTTAAAGTGTTGTACCATAGTACTGTTGAGCCTTTATGAGGAAACAACTGTATTCTTTGTGTTCGGCCATCATATGTGTCACACTCACATGTTCATGACTGAAACTGAGCAACAGGTCAAACTCTGAACATAGAGGAAGTGTAAAATGAAGTGTTGGCAAGGTTCTTATTTCAAGTGTACTGAAAAGGAAACAGAAACTGTTGTGGTATTTCAAATAATTTCCAGCATTTTTACTAAAAGTGGTTATTACAGCAACATGTATCATACATATTACAAGGTGATTGTCTCTCAAAGAGCAAATTTGATATGCAGAGGGTGAGTCAAAAGATGCAGGACACCCTTTAATTACAAAAAGAAAAAGGGAAAAGGACATGTCTTTTAGGATGGGTCTAGAAAAGGACAGCATTTCAAAAGCTGCCAGATCAAGTGCAATTTTCCCAAAGATAGACCCCCTCACTCATTGCTGGAATATTCAGGTGTTATTTTCCCTTTTTCTTCTGAAATAAAAGGGTGTCCTGTGTCTTTTTAATCATCCCATAGAACACAGAATATTTTAAGTTGTAGTTTAGGTAAATGGTCTTGAGCTAATGATCATAACCAAACAGGAAACAAAAACTAATTCAGATCCATCCATTTCTTTGCTCACCTTTTTCCATTTTGACTCGAAGGTGCCTTTCTCTAGCGGTCATTGTGTGAGAGACAGGATACACCCTGGACAGGTCTCAGCTCCATCATGGGGACACAAACAACCATTCACACCCTCATTCACAGCTACAGATATTTTGGAGTTAGCATTCAAAAAAGAGCATGCAAACTCCACACAGAAAGGTTAACCATTGCATTGCCATGCTACTCCCAGTTCTTATCAATAATAAGAAAAAAGCACAAAACAAAATCCCTCAGGAGATACTGAAGTACAATGAAAGAGTTCTGTCCTAGGCCACAAAACAATGTAAAGCAATCAATAAAAAAAATAAAAATACACTTTTAAATACGGTTTCTGCATTGATTTTAACTGTGACCTTTTTGACATGCTTCTCTTCTCAGAGTAGTGACAGTTGTTCTGCCACTGCCAGATAAAGCTGTGAACACGAAAGTGATTATGTGTAGAAAGCTGTCACTGTTTCACTTTTACTGACAAACTATATCTCAGGAGGACTATTTAAAAAAGGGTAAAAATAAGCACACAACACATGCTTTAGATATTGTTGAATTTTATATTGTTAATTTCTGTAAAGCAGGAAATGTCACATAGGGGCTTTTTTTGTATAAAAAACAGCCTGGCAATTTGATTTAATTTCTTTATTTTATTGAATTACTATGTCAACTCCCACATTTTTTCTTTTTTTCTTGAGCTTCTGGTTCATTCACAAATGAATGTTAATATTTTCTGCCACCATTGCGTAAGCGGCCCGTCATGTCTGTGTGTGCGAAGGTGTGTTTGTGTTTTATCAAAGTCAAGGGGAACTGGATGATTAAAATGTTGGAGTCAACCCAGTGCACAATGCCTGCCACACAAAATGATCTTAAAAATCAAAAATAGCTAAGTTTTACAGATACGCAGCTAAAATTTGATGCGTTAGAAGCCGAAAGATCTTTCAGTGAAAACTCTGGCTTGCAAGGCAGTGAGCGATTTGCATTTCCAGGTCTGATAATTTGATTTATTCTTTTATTTTGTTTGTACTTTATTGCAACAATTGTTTATCTTAAATTTATTTTATGAGTCAGTTATGCTTAAGATTTTACTTTTATTTTACTTTTTTGTGATATAATCCACAAATACCCTTCCGACATTAAAAATTGCATTATTTTTATCTGCCTCCAATGTTAGCTCATACTCTATAAGCTTTATGATTGATTGATTTTAAGAATTGCTTTCTTCCAAATCACACTAATATGACCATAAAGACACAAAACGTCTAAGAAGCTGTCGTTCTAGGAAATGAAAGCAGTTCTGTCACACAGGAAAACATCAACTTGAGGTTTGAAGACTGCGGGCATTTTAATGCTTAAAACATTTTTTTGTTGTTTCACGCTTACCTCAGCATAATCAGGAAATACTGCTTTTACCATCCTTCCTTCCATTTCGACACATTCATGGCTGTTCAGAAATATGAACAAGT